ATGTGCCCAGCTTCTCACTGCTCTTAGAATAAAGCCCACATTCTAAACTTGGCCTACAAGACTCTGCATGATCTTGCACCTATGGACTTCTCCACCCTCATCTACCACCATTCTTCCTGCCTTTCTTAGGTTCTACTCTCTGGCCCCATTGGTCTTTTTCAGTTTAGTGAACATGTCCACCTCTTTCCTACCCTGCCCTTCTCTTTCATAGCACTCATCTCAGTTACAATGGTTTGTTTTTAGGTAGGCCCATCCCTAACGTGGATTCAAATTTAGATTTTATTTGGAATCCTCAGGATTCCCCAGTAGAATGTGGTGGTGTGGGGAGAGTCAGCTACTTGTCCTCAGGTCCACCTCTTTTCCCACCCCTGACACCGTCTTGTACTGCCAGGGGTCTCATGTGCATGTATGTGGACCTCTCTGTCTATACATCCTAATTCTGTCCATAGCCTCCTGCAAGCAGCCACCCCTTGGCCACTTAGGTCTAGGGATGTGTGAACGGGTAGTTTGGTCTACCCTTGGGTGGGCAACCCAGGGAAGAGGTCCATGTGGGCCCTAGAAGCGGGCTTGGGGTCCTTTGGGCAGGGAATTCTGGAGTGTGGCCCAGAAGGAGACTGGGTGTGTGCGCAGAGGAGGCCTGGCACATAGCTGGAAGAGCACCAGAGTGGAGCCTTCCAAAGCACAGCGCCCAGGACAGGGGTCAGCAATACAATGCTGTTTCTGTTTCATCTGTAAGCTCCACAGAGGCAGGGGGCTGGGGTCAGTCTGATTTGCTGAGGTGTATCTAATGCTTAGCACAGTGCCTGGGGTGGAGTAGGTGTTTAATAAATATTTGTCAAGTGAATGTAAGGGGTAGACCAGAAAGAGGTTTAAGAATTTGTATTATTACTGAAGATCTAGATACCAAAAGTCAGAACTAGGAATGAGAACAAATCTTACAGGGCTCCAAAAATGGATATAGTGACAGCATCCTGGATTACTGACTCTTGTCTCTTCACCTCTCCTTTCTCTTTGTTTTCTACTCCACTTCTCTAGGCCCTTTGCCTGCTTGGCCCTCTTTCTACATGGTCCAGCATCCCTCAGTCCATATCTTTCTACTTTTTCGTCCTTTGGCAACTACTCTTTCTTTGTGACCTGACCATCTCTCTGTCTGCTTCTCTGTATTTGTTTTAGTTCTTGGTCCTCGATTTTACTTTCCTTTGTTTCTTTCTTCTACCACTTTTGCTCTTCTAGTCCTTTGCTCTTGTCTTTCTTGTTACTCTTACTCCCTTCTTGATCTCCTCCCAGAAGCTTTCCATGGCCCTTTGCCCAACTTGTCCCTCTCCCTGCTTGAGTCTAGATCCCTGGGGAACCCTTGACTTGTTCTTCCCTCTGTCCCAGGTCTATATCCACTGCCTCCTTAGCTAAGTCTTCCTGCCTCTCTTCCTCTGTTCTGTCATTCCTAGAGTCCACCTGGCTTCATCTTTTTCATCCCCATCCCCGCCCCCCCAGATGTCCTTGAGCCAGTCAGTGTCAGCATTCATCCCCTCCCCCCCTGACAGAGGACACATTAACTACCTCCTGGGCCACAGCCTTTCCTTTCCATGTCCTTGGTCCTTTCCTCTGGCCCAGCCCTCAGTCCTCAGACTCCTTTTCCTGCTCAGTGTCGCCTGGTCTGAACCCCTAGCAGCTCAACCTGCCTGAGCTTGTTTAGTCTGACTCCTTTAGCCCGTTAGCAGCTTAGCCCTCCCACCTCTCCTTTGAGCCCTCCAGTAAACAAGAGGATCAGTGCAGACCTGACAGCTGCTGAGGGGAGAGGGGCCAAGTGTCTGGCCAGGCCAGACCAGGCATAAAAAAGGGGGCTGCATTCAACATTTCCATTTCCTTCTTCCACCAGGAACATTCTGGGGCCTCTTTCCTGGCTATCTGCTTTAGAGCCACATACTATGGGCATGTGTGAGGGATTCCCTGTCTCTATGGTCTCCATTCTCATTTTGTGGCTTTGTTTCCAGGACTTGAGCTTTTTGGTTCTTCAACAAAACACCACTAGATTCAGGCAATCACACTGAGAAGCCTTTCTCCTTGAATGGTCATGGTCTCTGCTCCACAAAACAGAGGCTAGGTGTGGGAAGAGAGAGATGTCATCTGATCTAGGTCTTCTTATATGTGTGTGGAGAACATGGCAGGAGAGACCACACACAAACACACACAAAGGGAAGGTGAGTTCACTGTAGGCATTCTGTAGAGCAGTAGTTCTCAAACTTTAATGTTCATCAAAATTGCCCAGAGGGCTTATTAAAACATAGATATTTTTGGCTCCATCCCCAGAGTTTCTGATTCAGTAGATTTGAAGTAAGGCCAGATAATTTGCATTTTAACAAGTTCCCAGGTGATGCTGCTGATCTGGGGACCACACTTTGAGAACCACTGTCTTAAATCTCCCACCTTTTCACCCAACACCTAAGGCTGGGACTAGATTAATTTTTATAAATTATGGTCATTGGGGCTGATGGACACCCACGTCTCTCTTTTGGTTGGGAAATAGGATCTGTTAACCCCATGGGAGAGTTTAGGTGTCCTCAGAAGGTAGGGAATAGCCTTTAACTCATGGAGTTCTATTCCAGTACAGACCGTATTTAAACAGCTTCAGACAGGTTTAAACATCTTGGCTAATTCCTAGTATCCCTGTTCCAACTTCTACTCGGGGATGATAGCTCTAAGAGGTGTTAGGGGATTAGGCTGAAAATGTAGGTCACCCACCAACCATCTGGGAACCAGGATGAGTGAGAGAGGAAAAGAGAGGGACAGAATATACACAGAGAAAAGATGAGGGGAAGCAGAGGGCATATGAGGGCAGTCACAAAAGTCTCAGATGAATTGGTGGTGATTAGATTTCAGTGTCCCACATTGGCCTGGAAGGAAGAAGCAGAATTTCCCATTTTTCCTTCTCCTGTTCCTTCTCTGAAGCTGGATTGCCTGTCCTGGGGCTGGTTCAGCAAGAGTGAGAAAGACTGAGGTTTGGATGGTCAAATCCTGGCGATTCATCATGAAGAAGATGGCTTCTCTTTCTGATTTGATATCTATGAGGGTCATGAGTCTAGATACAGTGGGGATGAGGCAGGGGGAAGAAATGTGAGGATTCCTGGAAATAGGAGACACCCAACAGTCCAGGTGAGAGTGGGTTCCAGAGAGCTTGAACTCCCCCAAAACAATCACAAGGGCCTGCAGAGCCTTAGAGGGTGAGGGCACTGGGAGCCGTCTTTTCTAATCCCATACTTTCAGTCACCAAGGGCTGAGGGTTGTGTTCACATGCGGGTGGTGGTCTGTACCAGGGAGCTGAGCACATGTAAGTCAGACTATCAGTGAGGAGCTTTATTGGGGAAGGTGCCCTCTTTCCTTCCTTGAAAACAGGCATACTTGTTCTCTCCTCTTGTTCCCCCCACTCCCAAGGCCAATGAGATAGTCAAATGATCCCCTTACCTCATTGGCTGCAGGCCTAAGGACCACAAATGACCTCAGAGAGCTATCCCTTTAAGAGTGCCCTCTGGGCTCTGTGCCCACAGCCCCTTGTTCTGAGCATAGAGGCACTGGGCCTTGCTCAATGGTGCCTCCAGTCTCTGGGGAAGCTGTGCTTGCCTGGCTCTGACACTGACCACATCACCTCTGCCATCCCTTAAGTGAGTATTCCCTGGGCCTTCCTGGGTGCTGGGTCTCTAACCTAGAGCCTAGAGCCCCCTCCTCTGATACCTGTTGTCTGCTCTCTGTTGTCTATTTTCAGGAATTCTCACATTTCTGTCCCCTGCCCCACTCCTACCCTAACTGGCTCTATATCCCTCACTGCTATCACATCAGAAACATAAACAAGTCTTCTCATTTATTCTTTCATCTTATTCTCTCTGGACACTTCTCTCAGTGTCTCACCACCTTCTCCCTGCCAAGAACCAGTTCCTTCAATCTGTGTTTTTATTCCTGTCTTCTCTGTCCTCTCAAGGGCGAGGAGCTCAATAGAGAGGGCAACAGCCCTTCCCTGGGAGAGGAAGAGAAACCTTGTCCTTTCTCCCCCCTCTTTGGGCAGAGCCTAGGGTCTGAGATGTGGTTGAGGGATATCTAGGTTTGGGGCATCAAAATTAAGCCAAACTCTAAGCCTTGCGGATGTGCTCATCCCTGCTTTGCCCCTTCTGGAACTATGGGTGTGGCTGCTGAAACTGGGACCTGAGCTAAGGGAAACTGGGGTCAGAATGGGGAAGATGATCTGCTCAAGTTCACACAACATAGGGGGTTCTGAATAGAAGAAGGAAAACCAATCTTGCTTGGTTCCCCTGGGAGAGATTGGCCTTGGGGAAAGATAGTTGCCACTTGGTCCTGATCTTTCTAAGACTCATTCTAGAATCTTTTTCCCCCCTTGGAAAGTCTCTCACCCCTATAAAAGGGGTGGATTAATTCATAGAACAGATGTGCACTAAGGGTCTTCTATATGCAAGGCATTGGCTTGGGTGCTCTGAGAGATAGAGAGGTATAATCATAGCATTGTATCCTTATTTCTACATTAAAATTCACAGCATACATGTTTCCCTTTGTCTTAAAATATATACGTACTCTCACAGTTAATTAAGCAAAATTTTTAATTGCTTGGAAATGGAATGGTGCCTCTTGAGATGACAGAGCATCTCAGCATGTTCCAGCAGTAGAGTTGGAGCACTGCCATATTCCTCTTGTTTTCGTAAATCTCAGAGGCACCAGTGGGGCCAGAGACTGTGCTGTCCTCTTCCTCATGCAAGCTGCTTGTCCCTGGGCAGGAACCCCTGCCATCTGAAAAATTGGCCCCCAGCCCGGAGGTGACTATGCAGGGAACAGGGCAGCACCGTCATCCCGGCTTCCCAGAATTGAGGCTCCAGGGTACTTAGGCTTTTGGGGGAGCAGGTTTTGGTGAAGGAGTCTGGCAGGCAGTCTCCAAGTGCTCCAAATGTCTCCTCTGTTTTGCAGGTGTGCCCCCCCCCGCCCCCCCCCCATCCAGCCCCAGGATGGCCCTGCCTTCCAGCCCCCTGGCCATGGAATATGTCAATGACTTTGACTTGATGAAGTTTGAAGTAAAACGGGAACCTTCTGAGGGGCGATCTGGCACCCTCACAGCCTCACTGGGCTCAACACCTTACAGCTCAGTGCCTCCTTCACCCACTTTCAGTGAGCCAGGCATGCTGGGGGCCACTGAGGGCCCCCGGCCAGGCCTGGAAGAGCTGTACTGGCTGGCCACTTTGCAGCAGCAGCAGGGGGCTGGGGAGGTACTGGGGCTGAGTCCTGAGGAGGCCATGGAGCTGCTGCAGGGTCAGAACCCAGTCCCGGTTGAGGGGCCCCATGGCTACTACCCAGAGAGCTCAGAGGAGACAGGAGCCCAGCATGCCCAGGTGAGTGATCAGTGAGCTGTTTTGAGGGGAGGCTGGGTAAGAGAAGGAGTTCCTGGACTGGGAAAGAGACAGAGGGCAGAAGAAGGGCCCTTGGAAGAAATCAGATAGAGAAAACAACGTTCTGCCCCCTCCCTTTTTTCCAAATGGAGAGAAATGAATAGGCTGACCCAGGAGGAAAAGGGAGAAGATAAGGTTAGAAGAGGACAGAAAAGGCAGAGTTGAGAATTAAAGGGCGTCGAGGAGCAGGCGATTACGGGCAGGTAAAAAGGGGAGGTAAAAACCATGCGTGGAAAACAGGGAATGGTGTGGAGTCAAGACTGTGGGAACTCGTATGAAGTTGGCCTTTTCAAGACTTCGTGCTACCCCAGCCCACAACCTTCTCAGAAAGGATTGGGACTCATCCTATTAATTATAGACACAAATGGGGGTGTTGAGGGCATTAAGATTTAATCCAAATCTGTTGAGGGTCACAGGGTTGCGGCCTCCAGGAGAGGAGAGCCAGGTGCGTTGGAAAGGTGGGGTCTATCTGGCCATGGATCCCCTGGAGACACGTGGGCCTGGAGCCCGATGCTACGCCCTGGGCTCAGGTGCAGGATGGGCTCGCTTGACAGTGGGAGGCGGGCGGAGCCAGCAGCGCTGGGCGGGTCTAACGGCTGGAGTCCCTGGGCAAGGACCTATGGGAGCCCGGAAGTGTTGGGACCTGGGGCGGGGTCTGGATTGGGAGATTGAATCAGTGGAAGGACGAGCATTCAGGTCAAGTCCAGAGCCAGGCGAGGCCAGCCTGGCGTTGGGAACTGAGTGTCCAGGTCAGACCAGGTCTCTACCTACTCCCTCTGCAGCTGGCCGAGCGCTTTTCTGACGCGGCGTTGGTGTCGATGTCTGTGCGGGAGTTAAACCGACAGCTGCGGGGCTGCGGGCGCGATGAGGCGCTGCGGCTGAAGCAGAGACGCCGCACGCTGAAGAACCGAGGGTACGCGCAAGCCTGTCGCTCCAAGAGGCTGCAGCAGCGGCGCGGGCTGGAGGCGGAGCGCGCCCGCCTGGCCGCCCAGCTGGAGGCGCTGCGGACCGAGGTGGCCCGCCTGGCCAGGGAGCGCGACCTCTACAAGGCTCGTTGTGACCGGCTGTCCTCCGGCGGCCCCGGGCCCGGGGACCACTCTCACTTCTTCCTCTGAGCCTCTTGGGGCCACGGAGTGGTGGTGGAATAGGTTGGGGTGGGCTCACCATCCAGAAGGCAGCTTTCCCATTCACTAGGTGGTTATTGAGCGCCTTCTGGTGCCAGACACTCCTTTGTATGACCACCGCAATATCCCCAAATTTCCTGGACCCTTAAGGCATGTGCCGAGGTTAGATGATGGTCATTTTCTGGGAGAGAGTTCCCCTCCCTTCAAGCGGGCCATGTACAGAAACCCTCTATCTTTTGCCCAAATCCACACGACCAGGATACTGAGTTCAGCAGGAACCAGTACCAGGCACTGTGTGTGGGTGGGGGGAGGGCAAGGGCGTGGATGATGGCTGAGTGACAGTGCATGGGAGGTGAGGGAGTGGTGTATATTTTAATTAAAGGTTTTCAACCTATAGTGCATTAGGCAGTAATTAGCAAGAAGGCTGTATTTTCATTCTGGGGCTTGTAACCTCCCCATTTAGGACTATTGCATTTTCAAGATTTTAATTTCCAATAGCAAGACAGACTAGGAATTTTATCCAAGAGGCTTTCCTCCTACCCAACCCAGTGGCTTCCAGGGCCCAGAGCTGCAAAGGCCTGAGGAGCTCTGGGGTGGTTAGTGTGGGCTGGGAGAGAACCCTGGGCAGGAGTCTGGAGACCTGGGTGCTCCGGCTCTGCCAAGGATACCACTGTAATCTTGAGCAAATCATTTACTCCCTGGGTCTTGGTTACCTCATCTAATCCTCATTCGGGTTGGATGACTTCTGTTACCTTTCCAGTTCCGGCTCCTTAGTGTGGGAGTCCAGTGGTCTCCCCAAGACAACCTCACCAAAGGGACTGCCTGTCCTGCTCCAGCTTCCTGGCTGCAGCCTACACACTGGATGAGCCCATGCACGGGTCCTCTGCTGCTCCCTGCAGGCTGCCTCCAGACCTACATGAGGTGACCCTGCTACCTCCTGCCTTTCTGACGGCTGAGGTGAGACTTGCCCCAGAATGACAAGGAGCTGAGAGTGCAGCTTTTGTGAATTAAACTTGAATTCCAGACAGAACTTTATGCTATTGCCTAATGTTCTTGTAATTTAGAAGTGTTCGTTTTTTATCCTTGCTTCAGACGTGTGTGTGTGTGTGTGTGTGTGTGTGTGTGTGTTTGTGTGTGTGAAAGAGAGAAGCCCCACCTGGGCTGAGTGGTGCTTTTCAGTTCTGGAGGCCCAATAAAAATTGGGTGGAGGTGTGGGGACTGGGCCAGATGGAGCCTGCCCCTCCCACCACTACTGCACAGAAGCTCAGGAGCATCAGTGACTATTCTGAGGTCTCACAGTTGCTATAGTAATCCAGCCCTCTGCTTCATCAGCCTATGGTGAGAGTGGGTGGGGGATATGGGCTGATCAGAGGCATTGAACTGGGAGCAGCAATCTCACCAGCTACTGTCATAGGTCCTCTAAATGACATAAAAAATGGGGAGAAGCAGTCAGGCATGGGGGAAGAAACGGTCATGTCTCTCTACCTTTCTGCTCCCTCTAACCACTGCTTCCCCAGCTGTCTCTTCCCATCCCAGTTCTTGTTACTGCCTCCCCCTCCTCTAGCCCAGCTTGTCCCTCCTCCACTCAGGAGCCTGCATTGGAGGCCTCTCTTTCATCTCCCCAGGATTTCTTACTTTTCTCCTCTTCTTTTCCCACTACTGGCTATTGGCTACTGGCAATGGCTGGCTCATGGCACCTTTAGCCTCTCCTCCTTCATCCCCTTCCACGCACATCACTGAAGGGAGAGGCTGGGGCAGGGAGGATCCCTTAGGAGCCCAGCTCTTCTTCCTTCATTCTGGATCTCACACATGTCTTACCTGCTCTCTGAAGCTGCAATCCAGACCTATTACTGTTCTTGCACACCTTACTTGATTGGCTGAGGCACACACACGGACAGAGATGCCCATCCACAAGTGTCTCTGGGTCACAAGATGAGGGTCACTCAGATATATTCCACACAGAAATTGCACTAGTGATTGATAGTGTGTGCACTTTAGTCAGATGGGCCTGGGCTCAAGTTTCAGGGCTCCCGGTTCTTCTTTGGCTAAACAATAATGTGCCCTGCTATTGTGAATGTTATTAAGAGTACACAGCTGGACTACCTGAACCATTAAGGCCACACTCATAGAAAACCAGGGATGTGCAGTCATGAGCACACACATACATTCGAACAACTAGGAAAACCAGGCAGCACAGACCTTAGATGCCCCTTCTGTATTCTTAGTTCACTAGCAGACCTCCTGCCCTCCTTCATTCCCCACACATCCCTTCTGGGCCTCACCCCACAGCTGTGTGTGGGCTGGAGTTCCACCCCTTGGGCTCAGCTGGGATTCTCTGGAGACAGCTGTAAAAAGGCATTAGCCTGCCCCCTTGACAGCCCCTTATTACCTTCCCCATCTCCAATAATTAACCCCCATGGTGCCTGGGATCGGGAGTTGAGGATAGGGGCTCCTCAGATCTCCTTGGTACATAGTTGGGGTGAGAGTGTAGAGACATGTGACTGCCTGGTGAACTCTGGCCCAGTTTTTGAAAGGTGCTGGTTCTTAATGGTATTTGTGGGTGCTACAGACTGCCCAGTGGGCATCTGAGACATGATGGGTAGAGGCTGAGGTGCTAAGACTGGTTCCCTTTATTAACGGCCAGAAAGTCAGGATCACTGAAGAGCATCAGTGAGGGGCCACAAGACTATGGGGCCTGGAGAGATGGGGCAGGGCTCTCCACTCACTTCCAGGACCCAGGGGGCACAGCTGATCCAAGAGGGAGAGGCACTGGTCACTCGAGTCACAAGGGTCAGGACAGGCACCTGAGAGAGAGTGGGATAGTCATAAGCACCCTTCTCTGTACCATACCTGGCCGAGATGGGCTCCACCAAACCCCACTTTGCACCCCCTAGTTAGTGTCCACTCCTTTGGGCCCCCAGGACTCACTGAGAGGCTGAGGGCGTGTCCATCCGGTGGGAGGCAGTCATGGGCTAGGGCTGGGAGTCGTGGCAGGCGTGCAGGGCCTGGGCGCCCCCGGGCTGATGCCCTGGCTGGCGTAGTACTCCACCACCTGCCGAGGCACCTCAGCCAGGACACACTTAGCCAGCGCAGAAGGTGCGGCCTACGGGTAGGGATCATGGCAGTGTTGTTAGGAACCCAAGCATAAGGGGCAGGGGTGGGTATGGGCAGGGCTTCGGAGTGGCCAGCTGGGCTCTAGCATCCTTCTCAGGACATCCACCTGGTGGGAGAACCAGGTCAGATTTGGGTGTGTGAGGAGCTGTGGAGTCCTGCTGGGAGGGAGCATCAGACACTCACATCCTTGAAGTCCCGGAAGGGAACGAACTGGACGATGTCGCGGGCCGCAGGCACCCCTCGAGGGCAGCGCAAGGGACCCTCGTCGCCATCCAGCAGCCGCATATCAGAGAAGTCAGCATTGCCCACGCCCACGATGATGATGGACATGGGCAGGCGGGAAGCGCGCACGATGGCGGTGCGGGTCTCAGCCATGTCGCTTACCACACCATCTGTGAGCACCAGCAGCACCGAGTATTTCTGCGGTGGAGGGGAGGAAGGTAGCCTCTGTATGCAAGGGTACTGGCACATGCCCCAAGCCCTGTCCCTGCCCCCTGCCCCACCTAAGAGCACCCGGGCAGAGTCTGGTTGCCACTTCCTCTCCTCACCGTGGCTTGGCCGGTGCTCTGCTCCCGCTGGGCTGGCTCAGCCACACGGTTGATGATGGGGGCCACGTTGGTAGGGCCATAGAGCTGGATCTGGGGCAGGCAACGGCGGTAGGAGGTGATGACTCCCGAGATCTCTGTGGGCAGAGGTGAGGCTTTAAGAGATTAGTGGGGAGCCCTTCCTGATACCCCTTAAAGCAAGGAAGTGTCCTGTCCCTGCCCACCACCACCACTTCCCCCCCCACCCCCCGCCCCAGTTTCTCAGTAAGAAGGAGAGTTGGATGATCCAGGCACTGGGCAATTGGGTGGGTAGATGCTGGACCAGGGTCTGGAAGTCTTACCAAATGGACCCAGGCACTGAATGGGTAAAGGGTCAGGGAGCTGGGCCCATGGGAATGCAGTCTGTGCTTTGTCGTGGGGTGTACTGGAGTGTGCAGCAAGCTGTATTAGGGGGCTGGTGGGAGCATCCCCTCTTACCTTCACATTCAGGATTTTCCGGGTCAAAGTTGATAGCAAAGTCATGGGACACCTATGAGAACAGTAAGGGGATCATTCCTTCTTGTCTCACTCTCCCACCAGCTCCTCCCTTCTCTTGGCACCCAGCCTACCTCGAAGTTGGGAGGGATTCGAGCCCCAAAGCCAAATGCTGGGAACCGCTTATCACTGGGGAGAAGAAAAGGTTGTAAGGGCCCATTGGGCAAAGCCTCCCTGACTGTCTCCGGCCCTGCCCCCCACCTCTTTCTACCTGTCATAGTCTTGACAGATGCCTCCCACTGCACGCAGGGCCTGCAAGTAGTGATTGGGCTGGCGAGGGCTGAGGCAGTGTAGGGACTGGCTGCTCCTCGGGTCCCCATTGGAGGCTGTGAAGTCAATGGCCACCTGGTGGAGGTGGGGAAATGGACTTGCTACATCCTTGAGAGCCAACAGAGAGGCTAGGCCAGTGCTAGTGTCTGTAGGAAGGACTAAGGTGAATCTGGGTGAGCCCACAGGTAGCATCATCATAGAGCGGGGTGAGGGGTACAAATGATAATGCCAGGCTCATGAGAGGCCTAAGTAGGGCAGAGGGCATTCTGGGTTCTTTCTGTTCACTATAGGCTTAGCCCTTCCCTCTGGTCTGTGTCCCCATCCCCTGGGCATTTACCGTGAAGCTGATCTGGCAGCCGCCCATGATGTAATCCAGAAATGTGTGTACTTTTTCCACCTGGTGGAAGCAGGGGAGATAAGGTGGAGGGATAGTTCTTCGGGGAGGGACTAGATGGGGCTTCTGTGAGGGAAGTGGAGGAACCAGAGCTTTTGAGATTGAAGTTGGGAGTGGTATAGGGCAAGGGTTTTCAGTTCCCAGAGGCAAAGGAAGAGTTGAATGTGAGGTTGCAGTGGGGCTCAGGGCTGGGGCAGGACTGGAGGCGGGCACTGGCATTTACCGTGCACTGGGCCAGAACTACGGTCCCCGAGCTCTTGTAGTTCTTCTTCTTGTCCCGATATTTGGGGTTGATGCAGTCCCACTGCATCTAGACCCCACATTCCCCAAAAGCCCAGGTCACAATTCCATCAGGTGACCCCTCATCCCCCTTCCAGCAAAGCCTCCCAGAGCAGGCTCAGTCCTTAGGGTGATGCTGACGATGCATGGTGGCCTCTTCAGCATCGCCCTTAGAATTTTCCCAGAGGTCTTAGGGGGGATCCTAGGGGAGGGGTCTTTGTGACACCTCTTGTCCAGGATTTGCCGTTCCTTCCTGCATCTCCTGGAAGGTGCTGGTGAACTCTCCAATGAAGTCATGTTTCCCACTTGAGTCATAGTCATACACCAGGAACTGAGAAGGCAGGGGGGTCAGGGTCAGGATGCTTTGCGGTGGTTCCTGGGGTCAGGGGGAGGGACTCAGGGAGGTAGGGGTCTAACAGTCTCTAGGTCCAAAAAGACGAACGCAACCTGCCCAGAGAGGCCATTTGCCGAGAACGTCATTCTTTGGCTCAGTCTGGCAGGGACTTTGGCTTCTGATAAAAGGCACACATGTAGGCACACATGTAGGCACACATGTAGGCACACTGAGCTGTGACAGGTTCTTTACCGCACAGTGGGGGAGAGGAAGGGAGCTTGCTACACTCAGGGGGAAGGTCTCAGGCAGAGGCTGGATGCTTCAGTAGGCTGCCCTTGCTTGAAGGGGGCTTCACCTTGAGAGGCCGGTGGATGTCACAGCTGCATAGGGAGTGCAGGGACAGGCGGAATGGCTCCCAGGTGGGGTTCAGGTTGTTTTTCACCACCTTGGAGAGGCACCAGAGAGCCGGTCACCTCCTATCTAGGTTTTCCTACTCTGCTCTTCCTCCCTCCTTCCCCATAGCCCCAGGCACCAACCTCAGTCCTCCAGACCAGCTGGTCACTCTGGTCCTCGTTGGTCTTATAGATCTCTATGAAAGGGTCAGATTTGCTGAACAGATCCTGGGGACATAGGGGAACAGACCCATAAGCCTGGTGAGGTGCAGGGGGAAGCGGCTAACACAGAGAAGGGAACAGTGCCGGGACTTTGGGATTTGTCTTGACTTGGGGGCCTGGCCTCTGGGATTTTAACCTTGTTGTCCAGCTTGTGGGCTCTGAAGGTGAGCTGCACATAGTCGTTGGTGCCAGACACCTCCTCAGCGACAATCTGCAAGGGGAACACAAGTGGCAGGACTCCCCCCCAACCCCCTACCACAAGGTCCACCCTATGCCCTTTCCTTTAAGTGGGGGCCAGTCCTGGGCATGATGTCACCATGGTTGTTGGTGCAGGGGCATTGAATGCCCTGTCCAAGGGTGAGTAGAGGTGACCTTGCCTACCGTGATGGTGGACTTGCCCGCAGTCTTCCCATTCTTCAGCAGCAATGGCTTAGTGACCTTGGTTTGTGACACAATCTGGAGATGGAGGTGGAGGGAGACCGGCTGTGAGGCCCCACCTGCCTTGGCCAGGGTATAAGGGACGGGGGTAATAGCTTGGGCTAGGGTCGGACTGTGACCCCCATTGTTTAGATGAGGAAACTAAGACTCAGAGAGGTTAAGTATCTTGCCCAAGGCTGCACAGCCAGTGAATGGCGGAGATGAAGGTCCAAGCCTGGAATGAACTAGCCCTAGAGCTCATGCTCTCTGTTAATTTGGATTTCAGAGAGGAAGCAGAAGCTGATGGGGGTGGGGTGGGAATGCAGACCTGGCCCAAGGTGCACTCTGTAGAGCCAAGGAAGGTGTCACTGCTGGGGCTGGTGGCTCCGTCCTCGGCATCAAACACATGGAACTGCAGGGGCTGCTTTTCTTCAAAAAAGTACTCGAGGGCCAGCACCCGGGAGAAGACGGGGCTGGAGCAGGAGCGCAGCACCTCTGTGCGCTCCACCTGCGGCAGGAGGGTGAGGGCCCTCTGGGAACCCAGGTACTTTTCCCCTGGACCACCCTCCGTGCCAGCTTTCCTTGGGCTGGCACACCCCCAGCGACTAGCTCTTCCTTCCCTAGGTTGACCTCTCCCCTCACCCCTCCCCCACCCCAGCTCAGGATGCTGCCAGCTCACGATGCTGCCAGCTCACTAGAGCTTCAGCCCTCTGGGGCTCTCATAAGGCCATTGGGAGCAGTGCCACTGCCCATGGGGCCATCTCAGGCCCCTCTGTAACTCTGGGCTTTAGAAACTAGAAATGATTTGTGTTTGTAAGGATGGCACACCCTTCACCAGGGTTACCCACACAGCCTGGAGGAGGCCCCTCAGGGTCTTCACTTTCCCACCTGAGGCCTTTGTTGCCTCCACCCAGCCTCCCTCCTTCCAGGCCTGAGTTGCTCTCACCTCCACCCACTGCTCATCAGAGTAGAGCTTGAGCAGCACGCAGGGGTGGGGCTTGGTGAGTGTGTCTCGGTCCAAGAGGCCATGGCAGGATACCCGAAGCTCCACCCGTGAGGCCCCCAGTGTCATGGCTGGGGGCTCAGGCACCCATCCCATCTCAGGGTCCGACATGTCACTGTGGGGACAGAGCAGATGGCCTGGATACTGGAAAGGGAACACTTGCCATGGGAGGGGGTCTATCTTCTGGAAGGCTGGGCCCCACCCTCCCTTGCCCTGTTTTTTTCCTGAGGCCCGGGACCTCCTGCACCCCCTGCACCTCCTGGACCTCCTGGACCTCCTGTTTCCCCTGCCCCCTCTGGGCTTGGCTTCTCTTGGAGCTCTGAGCAGAGGAGGGCAGAGTACCTGAGCCTCCCATACCTGCACAGTCTGTGCTTCTGTCACCCCTTCTGGCCTAGTAGGTGTGGAAGGGGCTGGACAGGGCTAGAGGGTTGGGGGTGTTCCTGGCAGTCTTGGCTCCTAGGCCATCAATTGATCCACACTTTTTGCTGCCTCAGCACCTTCTGCTGTTTCCCAACCTATGTTTGAGCCAGCACAGCACTCAGTCTTGGCCCCAGGGAGATAAACTGGGGCAAGGGGGGTGGGGAAAGGAGTGGATGGGCCCCTGGAAGTCTGAAGAGGATGGGCCTCAGGAATGGAGCTGCAGTGGGCAGGAGAGGGCAGGGTGATAGGTGCCCTGGGCTGTCCCTATTTATCTCCCCTCACTCACTTTGCAGTTGGCTGATGGGAAGGGAGGATGGTGGGCTTAGGGAGCTGGAGGCAGAGCCCTGTGCCTGCTGAGAGCTCCTCCAGGCTCCTGGCAGGGGCTCCCACTATGACAACTCTCGCTTTCCTCCCCACCTCCCCTGTTCTCACACTTCTTGGCAGCGCTGCCAGTGTCTCTAAGCGACGAGATTTTTGGGGAGCTGCGGCCCCCTCCATGCTGCCCGTGGGATGCACGCACGCCACCTTCCCCCAGCAGTGGTACCAAGCCTCGGGCAGCAGCAGGCAGGGGTACGCTGGCCCAAGTTCATGGCTGGTCAGTTCATCTATCTGTATCTGTCCACGTCTCAGGGTGAGGCTGTCTGATCTCATGTTGTGGTTCTGCCAGCGAGTGTGCATTGGTGTGTCTGAATGCTCCCACCTTGTGTGTCTGTCCCCTAGTCCTGTGTCTGTCTCCAGGAGGGTGTGACAGTTCCTGTAGGCACCTCCCTCAGAACGGGGACCCTTCTCTGGCTGGGTACCCCCTCCCCACAGCCTGTGCTTTCTGGATCTGTGAGGGAGGGTCTGGATTGCAGGGGTCTCTGCCTTCTAGCCACCAGTCTCCGGTTCTTGTAGGTCCCCTGAGAAGGGCAAGGGCATGTGATTGTGAGGGGATCCAGCAGAACCGGAGACTTCTCTGGGGGCTGGGGGAGATGCTATTACAGAGATTGGGTCAGGCTGGGCTGGGCAGGGCTGGGCTAGGCTAGGGAGGAAGGGGAGGCTCACCTGGGCTCTAGTTGGGGGGTTCCTCTCTCCGGCTCTGGCCCCAGCCCTGACTCCTTTTCTTCTCCAGCCGCTGGCGCCAGCTCCGGCTCTGGCTCTGCTGCTATTTATGGGGCAGAGATGGGGAGGGGAGGTGGCAGCACCAGCTCCCCCCTCACCCTCCCTCCAGTTGGGAGGGAGAAGAGAGGAGGGGCAGGGACACTGCCTGGGAGGGAGCCATAGATCTCGGGGAGGAGGGTGGGCTGGAGGTGGCTCAGAGGCAGGACCTCCATGGACACAATGACACACATCTTCTCCTTCACACCGCACCCACACCCAGCACCACAGAGATGCACACACATTCACACCGGGAAGTGATGGAGACACGCACCCACAACCCACAGGCTCACACATATCTTGACATGCACAGATGCCAGCACGTAAACTCTCTGTGACACCACGACAGTTATAGCCTTACAGATACACATAGGGAAACACACCCAGTCTCACGACACTCTCCACATCATGCTTGTTAAGGATATTTGCGCATATAAAAGAACGCCGGCTACACTTGTCACTCACACACACTCACTCATGCCAGCTCAAATTCAGCAGAATGGAGATCTTCACGTGCTCCTTAAAAACCACTCGGAACCTCATAGCTCTGAGAATGAGATTCAGTGTCCCAGCCACCAGTCTCCCTTTAACAGGGAGACACAAGGTCATGGACACAATTGCTTAAGGGCATGCAGTCTCACATTCTGGTCACACAACCAACCCCCAGTGAGATGTGCTGAAGGACTGATTCCAGAGGCATCTCCCCAGTGCCCACAATTCACTGTCCCCCAACCCGAGATTCCTTGTGGGAGGGGCCAAACCATGCACAGATCCTGAGGAAAGATTAGTCATTCCCTAGTGAGATCAGGGGAAGTGAGCAATTGCCTGAGGGCTGCCTGCCCCACGTGAAGACATCTGGGTCCATGTGATGGTGATCTGGGATGAGTAGGCAATAAGGTTCCCCAGAACACCTTCACCTTCAGCCCCTAAGCGGGCAGTCACTTACTGACAGCTCCTGGGTACCAGGCACTGTGCCAGGGGCTGGGGCTATGCAGGTGATTAGGACACAGCTCCCGGCCCTGGGGAGGTGTGTGTACATAGAACAGACAACCTCACAGACAGAGATGATAAGCCAATAGACAAGCGCAATGAAGTGTGGCAGGTGCAAAGGTGTGGATCTGGTCAGGATGCAGTGGGCCGCAAAGAGGGAGGGTTCCCTGGGATGGGTCAGGGGAGGGCATCAGGAAGGGCTTCACAGAGGAAGAGGCTCTTGAGCTGGAGTCTGGAATGCTACGCTAGTATTTGGCAGCACACCCATGGGAAAAATTAATGTAATCATCAATCTTCTCACGCCATAGATGCTCTGTTCACCTTCAGGCCGCTTTACTGCGGAGATTTCTGACTATTGATGGTGCCTGTAGGATGGCACACCACCTAATTCCACCATTAGTGAGCCTGCCTATGTGTAAACACACACATACACACACACACGCATGCACACGCACATGCACACACACGCACAGCACCCTGCTCCCAAGTCTCCTCCTGGTACACTGGGGTCTTCCAATCCCACCACACGCCCCAAAGCTGGACACACACTGGTGCTGGTTTCTATCATTTTGGTCTCTTCTCCAGCCAGCTCAGCCCAGATCCTACACATGACACTTACTGGGGTCCCCTCTGACCTGCCCATCACTTCTCTAGTCTCTCCTCTCTGCTCAGAGCCCCAGCCCCAACCCTGTGAGGTATGCCTCCCTCTTCCCCACTGAGAACAAGCACTGAAGGGGAACAGATGGTGGGGTGTGGGGCAGTGAATGGGGAAGGCAGCAAAGACGCAAGGCAGGCAGTGATTTTTCTTTTTATTCTATACAAGTGGGGAGAGAGCCCCTGGGGGTAGAGGGATAGATCTGCCCTCCAGGGAGGGAGATGCCCCCCACCCCGACTCTCTGTTGAGGGAGCCGGCATTCAGAGCCTCCCTCTTTCCAGGTTGCTCCCTCCCTCCCTGTCCCCCTCTCGCCCCCACACCTCATCTTGCCATTCAGCCCCTGTGGGATGGGCTGGCAGAGGGGCCTGGAGGTGCAGGGGGTAGGGGGTCAGTCCTTGTGAGGCACATGTCGAGGGGAGGGCTGGGGAGGGTGCAGCAGCGGCTGTCAGTCTGTTCCTGGCTCACTGGTTCCTGCTGGGGACAAATCCAGGGAGCCCTGTTTCCTGGGCAGGGAGAGCCAGCCGCCCGTATCGGGTGCGCCATGTTGGACAGGAGGGTGGGAAGGGGAACTGCCCTCTGGCCCACCCACCGGCACCTGTGGAGTCAGGGGGCCGTCTTCTATCAGGCTCCAGCTTGTCACAGGACTGTGCCCGCCGTGTCCTCTTGGGCTTCAGGGGGGCAGTCCGGCGGCCTGGATCTAAGAGCCCTGAAATGATAGCCAAGGCAGGTCCGGCATAGGAGTGGGGCTCCCAGCTGGGTGCTTGGGATGGGGACCGGTGTGGGCAGCGGGGTCCCAGAGGCATCCCGAGGCCCCCTCCAGCCAGGCGGCAGACCTTGGACCTCGGACTCCTCTTGGTCCTGCTGTGAGCCCAGCCTCAGCCGGGGTTTGTTCATTCCTGGGGCTGCACCCCCAGCCTCAGCCTCTTCCCTGCCCCCTGGCTCCTGGGGGGGACGGCGGCCCCTGGGCACAGCCACTGGCTTGGGGGGCCGTGGAGCTAACGGGGGGTCCTGCAGCTGACAGAAGAAGGAAGATGCTGGATCATTAGTTAGTCCTTTGCCTTTTCAAACTGCCTTCCCCACTCGCCTTGCCAGCCCTCACCTTGGCATTCCTAGCGGGAACGGTCCTCTCCCTCTCCTCCTCCCCATCCTGGGAGGAGGGACTGGGGCTCTGGCAGCTGTGGTTGGGGGCACTCTCCTCAGCTAGGGGATGAGGAGAGAAAAGAAACTGCAGGAACAGGCATTCTTGCATAGCCCTCCCTCCCCTGCCCCTATGTTGCCCGGAGGCCTGGGCTTCCCCATTTGCTCCTATGCCTCTGCTAATGTTCCCTCTGCTCTCACATTTCCTTAGACCTTGGCCCCCAGGATGGTCCGGAGCCCGTCACCTCTGGAGTGGGCTCAGGCTGCCCCTCGTGAAGAGCAGGGCCTGAGCTCTTTCCTGCTGGGATAGAGCCAGAGCCTGGGGCCGGCTGGCCCACAGGCGGGGCTGCTCAGCCAGGGCTGCAGTGCCCGGGGCCCTGCCAAGGCTGCAGCCTGGCTCTCCCAGGACTTTGTCTCCTGTCTGACTTAGTTGGCGAGAGCCTCAAGGAGGGGCGCCCTGGCACCCCCACCTCCTGCTTCTGTGGCTTTATGCAAATTGAGCCTGAGGGTAACCCACCTGGAAGGTGTTGTCTGTGTGCGTGTCTGTGGGTGTGGGTAAGAGAAGCCTGAAGGGTGCTGGGGCGGGTGTGCACGCAGCAGAGCATCCAACTCCCGTGGTCTAAGTGAAGGATGGAGCCCCACTTTGCCTATTTAACCACTTTGTCGGCGGGGGGGGGGGAGATGGGGAACCAGCAAAGATGCCCCCAGTACTGTCTGGGCCTTGGAGGATGGGCAAGAGCACAGGCATTCCCAAGTCAGGGGCCAGCCTGGCTCTGCACGTGCCTGGTGCCCTGGCGTCGGTGGAGGGGAGGAGGGTGGTGGAGCGTCTATATCTACGGTGAGATGTGTCCCTGTCAGTGCTGTTGAAGGGTCAGACGCCAGGCCTGTGGGAACTTAGGTTGACGCTGAGCTGACCAGCTTTCCTTCCGAGGCTCCGTGGGTACAAGGTGCTCTGAACCCAGCAGAAGCGAATGTCATAGCATGAACCCTCCTTTTTATTCCTTCAGAGTTTCAAAGCCAGAAGGTCAATAACTGGTATAAGGTTATTGCTGGTGGTGGCTGGGCTGGGCCTGACAACCAGGGTTTCTGACCTCCAGGGCAGGACGGGCTCTGGCCCCTTCCCTGTGGCACCTGGTGCATGAGCTGAGGGTGGCTTGGCAGCTGTTTTTGGAGGAGACTGGAATGTTTGAGGTGGGTCTGGCATGCCGAGTACTTGCCCACTCTTCCCAGCTGAGGGTCAGAGAGAGGACTTGTCTGTAGAGGGCGCCACTCTGCTGACAGGGACCACGGGTGGCCCTGCCTAGAGAACTATCTGGAATCTCCCACAGTGTGTGCTCTTGTCTGCCAGTCCTGGCAAAGCCACGTCTGTTCCGTCGGGCCTTTCTTTGGGTTGGGCTGTCTCTTGGCTCTCGCTTTGTAAATATCCTTAAACATTTCCCGTGTTGAGTCTTCATGGCCCCACCTAGGACTCCCCGATGCAGGGGCGTGGCTTCTGGGTCTGTGGGCACAGCCTGGGCCTTAGCGCTGCTGCCAGAGAGAGGGGCCCGTACCTATGTGCCAGGTGGCCTCTGCACGGCGCATGGCGCTGAAGCTCGGCTTGGTGCTTTGAGGTGGTGGTGGCGGCTTCCAGGCTCCAGGCCCTGGAGTGGAGGCGGGGGGGGGGGGATGGAACAGGGGACCGGGAAAGGCAAATTAGGAGGGGCCCCTGAGAGAGGGGTCAAAAGAAGGAAGGGAGGGTGACTGTGCTCACCTGCATCATCCGAAGAGCGCCGTTTCTGCCAAGCCTGGACGCTGTCCTCCAGGTCTGGGCTTGTGCCCTGAAAGGGGAGTCGAGTCGGGGGCGGGGGGTGGGGGGGTTGGGGGGTGGGGGGCGGGGGCAGTGGGGATCAGAAACGCCCTCTCCAGGCGGGGGCTGCAGTTAGCAAGGGGCTTCTGCTCTGGCGCTTGCACCGTTTTCCCCAAAGAGTGGCACCCAGACCACCCTAGGGGCATCAGGAATGGCTCGCATGAATGAAAGTACTGCTATTTTAACAGTCATGTGTTTCTTTTATGTGTAGTAAAAGAAAACAGGACTTTGGTTTTAAAGATAATAACACACAGGTCCAGACTAAGTTAAAAAAGGCGAGTTGATTTAAATGAAAACAATATGTAAATAATAACACAGGTGGAATGTGGAGAAGATAAAAATCAGTCCTAAAGTGGTAATCAAGTCACCAAAGTTTGGGAAACAGCTCTGGAGGTAAGTATTTTTATGACCGCCCATTTTACAAGGAAGTAGAGGCCCCAGAGGTTAGGTGACCTGCCCGGGATCCCACGGCAAGTGTCTGGTATGGGCAGAGCTGCAGCGAACACCTCTACCCCCAGTGCATGGTTTTTTCCACTGACCCACCAGGGGTGGGAGTGCAGGAAGGAGGGGGCGGTAGACAGGGACCCATAGGACCCTCACTTCACCGCTTGGGCTCCTCTCACCTCTTGTTTCCCATCGAAGCTCCAACCTTTGGTTCTTCCCAACCCAGGAAGGGCAACACCCTGGACTCTTGGCTGTTGTGCTGTCCCAGGGGCCTGGCCCCCCTCCCCTGGCTCTGACCCCTCAGAACCCTGAAACAAGTTCTCAGGTTTACAAGCAGTTCCTGAGGGAGGAGGGGTTCCACAGGCAGCAAGGCAGTGGGAGGGCCCCTGCCCCTCGGAGCCCCCTGCCCACACCCTTGGAAGAGTTTTTCCACTACCCAAAATGCACGCAGCACTCCCAGCATGCTCTACAGGCCCAGCCCACTCGCAAGGAGCAGGGAGTTGGGATGACCAAAGTTCCCCAGAGTCCCTAGCATCCTCCCCTTAATTGCCTGGGTGGGATGAGCAGGTGGGCTATGTGTGGGACAGCAAACGGGGAGGGCACAGACCTCCTGCCTCACTTACCATCTTCCTGCGGAAGGAAGGCCCCCGGTTCCCCCCCAGTCCAGGGAGCAGGCCGCTCTCCTCCTCTGGGCTCCAGCAGGGGGAAGAGTTGTTGCCGAGGCTGGGAGGGTCTGGGCTGGGGGGGCTCTCCTGAGTTGGGGGTGGGGGTGGGGGTGGAGGGAGGAGGAGTCCAGTGGTGGGGGACCCTGGCCCCCTGTCCCCCTTGAAGCTCCGGGGCCGACGAAAGTGAAACAGGCCTCGGCGCCTCTTCTTCTGCAGTGGAGGCAGTGGAGGCTCCGGGAGGCCTGGCCGCAGGGGCCGCAGGGTCCGAGGGCAGCTGAGCAGGTCGGGGTGCGTTAATGGCGGGGCTCAGGGAGACGTAAATGCCAGATGCAGAGGGTGGTGCTGGTCGTCTATCTCAGGTCTCACAAACCTCCCAGTTTCCTCTCATCTAGCTCTCCTGCGGCTCTGCAGCCCTCCCCACTTATCTCAGGGGAGATGGTGTCCTCACCTTCCCCGTCATAATCCTCTAGCAGATCAACTCTTCCTCCCAGGCACGCTCCTGCCCTCCCCTCTGTCTATCCAAGTGACCCAGTTCCTCAGGGCAGGACAGTGACTGAGAACATGCCCTCAGGCCTCTTACCCTAATGGTCATACCACCCAGGGCCTGCAGCCAGCCCCAACCTGCCCCAGCCCATCCCCACCACCCCACTGGCCCCATCCTTTCTAGTTAGCTGTCCTGAGACTAAGAAAACATGGGAGACAAGGGCTAGGTGTGGAAGGACGAGAATGTGAGGGAATGTCCCAGAGACTGGCTTTGTCCCGGGGCCCCGTCTCCATGGGAGATGGGCAGACATGAGTCCTTCCAAGCCTCGGGGCCTGGTGAATGGGAGTATGTCTCGGTGCCACACCTGGAACTCTCATCCATGACCCTTCGGCTGAAGAAGTCCTCCAGCCCCTCATCCAAGCGGGTGGCCATCCCATTCTCCTGACGTGTCCCAGGCACGGGCACCTGCTGGGAGGAAAGTCCTGTAGGGAATCTCATCCGGGCCAGGAAGGCCCTCCCCTCCACCAGGGCCTTCTGCCCCTTTGGACGTGGACTGGCCTCTCTTGGCCCCATGGACATTTAGACTCCAGTCCACCTGGAAATTTACTAAGCTTGGCAGCTCTCTCCACATGACTGCTACTGTCTGGCAGACGAATTTCCTATCTGTGACAAGGTCTAGCTCCCATCCAAACTGGAGAGCCCCTCTTTTGGTGGCCTGCCAGGGCCCCCGCCACATCCCCCGAGGCTGGTGCTCCGCGCCTGGCCTTGTGAAGTCGATCCTCTCGAGAGGCCTTAGGGACTCACACTGGGCCGACCAGGTCCTGGAGGGGTGGTCCTGGGGGGCCGGGGTCTGCCTTGTGTTTGATGCCTTAGTTTATAGCCGTGAGTGGGAAGCTCGGATAGACCTTCCCAGGAGCCACTGGCAGTGGGCTGGCTGTTCCCGAGTCCTGAGAACCAACCAGGAGGGATCCCCAGACTCCCCAGCTGGCTTTCCATGTCCTGAGGGCTCCCACCTGTGGGGACAGCAGCGTTAGAGGAACTAGCAGGAGGGACAGGGAGAAAGCAGTCTGGCGAGACAGGAAAAGGAAAGGGAAACAGGGCCAATAGAATCGAAGCTGGGGACTCACTAATGAAGGCGGACACTGGCCGGATCTTGCGGCAGCGTTTTTGCTTTTTGATGGCCATGGTGTCCTGTAGAAATGGAGGTGAATAGTGGGGCACATGGCAGGATCTCATCTGGAGCCTCCATTTCTCACGAAACCTTCTTTTTAGAGTCCCTCCTGCCTCCCTCTCCTCAGGGGTCTGGGCATTGGGATTAGGGAAGAGGCTGGGCTGGTCGGGGCTGGTGGATGAGACCAGTTCCGTAAGGGGCGGGTGGAGTCCGGAGAAGTGGAAGGGGACAGTATTTTCCAGGTTCAGGGGCAGGACCTAGGTTAGGGAGCGGATGGGGATGGGGTGCTCACGATGTTAGTCCCAAGTTCATCATCTGTGGTCTCCTCGTGGTCATGGTTACGGCCCCGGCCCCGGCCCCGGGAGGACAGATCCTGCCCTTGGCCCGGTCCCCCTGATGGATCTGATAGTGTCCTTAGCTGGGCCAGGTGCCGGGCCTGGGGAAGGACAGGATCCTAAGGAAGTGGTCTACCTCCCAGAGCCTTGAGGGGAGGGGGCTGGGGGAGGTAGTATGATGCCCACATTCAGGGCCTGTCTGAACCTGGCCAGGGTTCAGAAACCTTACCAGGCTCTTGTGTGAGTGGTATAGCTCCTGCAGGATCTCATCCACTATGGAGTTGGTTAAGTAGGTGACGACTGAGAGCTTCACTTCACTGTGGGCACAGGTGGGGCTGCTCAGCCACTCCTTCCCCCGCCCTGAGCCTCAGCCCTGCCCTTCCCCAGGTCCCTGAGGGGGAGGGCCAGCTAGCCCGCCCCGGCCATCCAAGGAGGCCCTAACATGCTGTAGGAGGCTCCTGAGGGCCACACTCAAATCTCCATGAAGGCATACTCAGTCCCACCCACCGACCTCCTGCCTGGGTGTGTGTGGGTTAGGAGGTGGGCAAAGAGACTGAAGGCCCCTGGAGCTCCAGTCAGCAGAGCTGGGTGAGTTGGGGTGCCGAGAGAGCTCTTCTGGTCTCTGCTGTAAGAGCAGAAACCAGTTCTTCTTGTAATAATTTTTCTTTTTCTTTGCTTTGGAGAGTGGTGGCACCCAGACCCAGAATGAAAGAGGCCCAGGGGTGAAAACTGGGAGGGAGAGCGTGTAGTCCACACACTCCAATCACATCCATTCTCTTTGGCCATGCCTCCGCAGAGGCTGTGTTTGTTTTCGGGAGATGACTCGGTGTGCGTGTGGGGCTATGTGTGTGTGCGCGCCTCTGTGCGCACTGCCCGGCTCCTAAACCCCAGCTCAGCACTTAGATTTCTAGGGCAAAGACCAGTCCGACCCTGAATAGCAAGGTTGCAGTTGGTTAAAGATTTATCCCTGGTAATGGAGATTGTGCCATTCATTATTCATGGTTGAGAGCTGGGCCCCAAGATCCTAAGTGTTCTGGGTCCAGTCCAGCCCTGCCCCAACCCGTCTGCCTCTCACTCCAGCTTGTTCTGAATGTCCTGGCCGGCCTGCTCCAGCAGCGCCCCGCGGATGAAGTTTCGGGGCACAGTGACGCGCTCGGCCACATTGCTCAGCATCTTGTTGTGCCCCTCAGCTACCCGCATGGCCACGGGACATAACTCCTGCGTGAGGCTGACCATGGACTCCAGGATCACCTAGTATGGGGGAAGGGAGGCCAGAGCCCAAAGCGGGGCAGGGTCAGGGGTGGCTTCCCAGCCGAGAGACAACAGCCTGTCTCTTCCAGCCCCTCAGGTGTCCACCCCACCATATGGACAGGGAAGTCAGTCCAGGGGAGAGGGGAGAGGCCAGGGGCCAAGACGGAAGCTAGCAGAGACAATTCAAGCCCAGTGTCTAGTAATGTCTTGGCACAGTGGGAATGTGGGTGGTCTCAGCTCTGCGTTTCCTTCTTGCCCCAGTAATCTCCCCGGGCAGGCCTAGCCCTCGGCTTAGAGCCTGGGTCAACACCAGACTCTTTCCCCAGGACTTGCCTGCAGCTCCTTGTCCACAGCCTTGGACACCTCACTGGCTACAGACTCCAGCCTCTGCCGCACAGGCCCGTCGTTGGCCAGCACGTGCCCCAGCTCATAGAGGCTGGGAAACAGCTGTGTGAGGAAGGGGTTATGGTCAGGCCAGACACAGGCCTTTGTGCCTGGAGGGCAGATGCACAGGCAGGGCCCAGACCCTTCTGGGCTAGCATGGCTGGCCTTCCTGGGTTCTGGATTGCCAGGGAGAGTGTGTGGGGTGTGGTGCAGGGCTCACCGCCCGGGAGTTCTTGGCGTCTTTGATGAGGTCCCGAGCGTAGAGCAGCTCATCCTGCACGGGTTCCAGGGGGCACAGCCTCAGGGCCCGGACCTCCTCCTGCACGCGTCCACACAGCCGCTGCAGCATCTGCAGCACAGCCGGCAGGAGTGTTAGGGGGACCCCGCACAACACCCTCCCAGGTTTCTCTGTCTCCTTGGGCAGTGCTATTGGTGCCAGCACTGCCTGGGTGGTGGTGATATCTCTGGATGGCCTGCTCTCACTTCTGGGGAAACCCTTCGTGAATGCCCAGTGGAGCTCCCTTTTCTGGGGCCCCCACTGTTTGCCCACATGTTCTCTCGTTTTGGGGGCCCCTCTTCTTCCCCATACTTGAGCCCAGTTATGGGCATCACATGATGCCTCTTTCATGCTCCCCTGCCCCCTGTTACATCACACCTGTGCCTTGCATGCCCCATGCATGACCCACACATGCCCCCTGTGTCCCAGAGGGAAACGTTTACTTGCTCGGCGCTGCTGGTCACCAGGCCCTGCTGCAGCCTGAAGGCCTGCTCCTGGGGACACGTCTGGGAGTGGTTGTTCCTCACCAAGCACCACTGGATCTGGAGATGACCGGGTGAGCGGGTCAGGGCCTGGGGATGTGGGCTGGCCCCTGCCCTCTCTGTTCCACCCTACTTAGACCGCCACCTTCTGCCAGACGTCCTCAGTGCGCTCCGGGGCGCTGCGGTAGGCTTGGGAGATGTCGCTCACGGGGAAGGACATGAAGCGCAGCGTGTGGTTGCTGTGGACGTAAGCGCACAGCTACGTGGAGGAGGAGATGAGGAGAGGCCCCTGCTCCCCCAGACCCACCTCTTGCTGACCACTTCCCTCGTCCATGGCCCTTTCTAACATTTCTGTGCAAATAGGTCAAGAGGGCTGAGGTGAGGCTGAGTTAGTTCAGGCTTGGTCCAGGCCCAGGAAGCTGGGGGCCTGGGTCAGGGAAGGGCCTGGTCCACTCACCTCTCCAGGGCCCTCGCAATGTCCAGAAAGCCCAGGGCAGATGTATTGTTCCGATCCCACAGGATAGTTCTGGGGAGAGGTTGAGCACAGCTTGTTACCCTCCCTCTGAGTTCCTGTTAAGGGGCAGGACACAGCCCCTCCTTTCCTGGGTAATGAGGCAGACTCAGAGATGGTTTGGGACTGAGGGTTTCCTGGAAGCTGGGGCAGAGCAAGGCAAGCAGGAAGGGCGTGTGTGTGTGTGTGTGTGTGTGTGTGTGTGTGTGTGTGCACATGCCCGTAGGGGGTCAGAAGTTTCAACTGGGGACCCACCTGAGGGAGGAGTTTATCTGCAGGGCCTTAGACAGCATCTTGGCCCCAATGTCCTCCATGCCATTGCCGCTCAGATCCACCTTGGCCAGGCAGGTGTTGCTGCCCAGGGCATTGATGAGGATGCTGGTGCGCAGCTTCAGCCGGGAGTCTGCCACAGACAGTGACTGCAGGGACTGTGTGGGCAAGTAGGGGTTGGGCCCAGTTCCCAAGGCTCCCGCCACAGCAGGTTTCCCCGCCCTCCCGCCCGTCACTCACACAGTCCTCTTCCTGGATCATCTGCACCAGCTTGTGGAGGATCTCCTCCAGGGTCCTGTGGGGAGAGGGCTGGGGTCATGAAATTGGGGGAGTAGGGAGGGGGTCAGAGGCAGTACAGTGAGCCAAAAGGAGAGGGGGCTGACAGAGTGAGGGTCTGTGTATGGGGAGGGGCCTTACTTGGCCTTGACATTGAAGTTCTTGCCCAGGAACAGGTGCTTGAGGGACTTGTTCTTGCCAAGTGCGGGCACCAGTGTCAGGAGGTCGGAGTCAAACCCTGGCCAGTAGATGGGAGAGGCCTGGCCTTGAGGCCCAGGCTCACAGGAGTCTCCTTAACGCTTCTCCCCCACGCTCCAGGCCCTGTCCCCACCTGGCTCCCAGGAAGAAAGCACCTCCACTCACCATTGTCTGACAGATCCAGGCTGCCCACACAGGTGACAGCCCCCAATTGCTCTTGCAAAGCCTGGGCTCCTGCTGAGCGGAGCTGCAGGAACAGGGTAGGGGTGGGTAAGGGTAAGGGCGGGGGGAGGCAGGGTAAGGGCGGGAGGAGGGCACCTTTAATGTTCAGAGACCAAAGTAGTTACGCCAGGACTCAAGGTCATATCAGGTCTGGGGTGTAAAATCAGGAGGCCCCTTCTCCACACCAGATTCTTCCCCAGGGCTCTCTCCCTTTCAGTCAGAAAAGTCTCCAGGCCGCTGCACCCGAGATAGCTCGCTCCTGCCCTCTGGTGGGAAAGCCTGGTATCTCCGTCCGCAAAGCTTTAAGGGGGGAGATACTGGAGACTGAAAATGACCTCTGGAAAGAGGGACGCAGACCACAGACTGAGGCGGGAAAGTGGGGGTGTGATCAGGTTGGGGGTCACAGAGGAGTGGTGCAGAGGCAAGAGACTGCCAGGGTTTGACTAGGTCAGAGAAATGAACAGCGGGTGGGGGACAAGCAGTGGGACTGGGGACGGAGGGCTCACCTCACAGCCGCTGAGGTCCAGGTGCAGATCACTGAGGTGGCTGTTGAGGGAGAGGCCCTGCAGCAGCGCCCTGTGGGGGGAAGGCCAGCAGGCCCACTTGCACCTCTCGCCCCTTCTCTCATGGCTCCCCGTGGACGCTCCCCCAGCCCTGCACCCACCCGACCTGAGGGCCTCCAGGGGCAGCTTTGTGGCAGACAGGTTGACGTGGCTCAGCGTGTAGGCGCTGCTGAAGAACTGCTTGAAGGCTGGTGGGGCCTCCCGGCCCTTCCTGCAGAGACCCCTGGGGTCAGCAAGGGAGAGGGACACCCACCACTTGCCCCATCCCTTCCTGCGCCCCTCACACTCCCACCTGTGAGAGCAGCTGTTACGCGCCAGGTTGAGGTAGGTTAGGTGGGAGCAGCAGCCATGGAGCAGGGCACCCAGAAGCTGTGGGGAGAGACATGGTGGGTCTCACAGGGGCTGGGAGGGGTCCTCCCTCCCCATCAAGGTCCTGCTCTTACCCCCCATGGTCAGTCTATGTGAGCCCAGCTATGGATGCCCACTTCCCCTCGTATTGCCTCGGTTTCCCCCCTGTGGAAAGTGGGTCTACTCCTTGCTTGGTCCCCAGGGGTGGTAGAGAGGCTCACAGACAATGGATGCGTAAAGCCAGGGTCACCACAGGCTCACAAGGTGCCTTGTTCACATAGCCTCCTGGTGGATGCAGCCTTGGGCCAGGGGGATGGAGCGAGGGCTGGCTTTCATGGAGCCAGCACAGCCTTGGGCAGGGACCGAGATAAAGTGCGGCACCGGTGTCAGCTGTGGGCATTGCTTTACAAGTCAGCTGAACCTGAAGCCATCCTGCCAGCTCTGCCCATCTTCATACCCAAGGAAGGTGGTGGGGCACAGACCTACACTGGCCTCCCCAGTCACTGCAGGCTGGTCCACCATAACCAACCCACCCCTCACCGAGTCAATGGCACAGTCAGTCCCTGCCAGGTCCAGGTGCACCAGAGCGTTGGGCTGGGCCAGGAAACTGTACAGGGCCTGGGAAGGGAGGGCAGAGGAGTTGCAGGGGAAGGGGAGATAGAGACCCAGGCCCTGCAGCCTGAGCGTGCTTCGGCAGGGGCTGGAGGCTGTGCTCCGTGGACTCACATTGGACTCGTCTGTGGCAAGCAGCCCAGGGTTCTTGCTCAGGTCCAGGTATCGAAGGGAGCTGGCAAAGGCCGGGTTGGCCCCGAAGGTCTGGCCCAGCGCCTGGAGCCCTGAGCACAGCGGGCACTGGGCTGGGTTGGCCCCCATCCCCACCTCTTCTCCGGGTGTACAACGCTTCCCCCCACCCCTAATGTGGCTCCTTTCCTTCCCTTGATCCCCGGGAGGCTGTGTGAGTGTGTGGATATGCCTCTGGACGGGGCTCAACATCCTAGGCAGCACTGGGGAGGTTAATGGTCACACGTCAGGGTCCCCAGTGCAAATACCTCGAGGGGAAATGGCGGTCTTGGCCAGGCACAGTTTGGTGAGGCCCGTGGGGAAGCAGAGGAGCTGCTGGCTCAGACTGAGGAAACCTGGGGAGTGGGGAGAGAAATGCACCCAGTGGGAGCAGGTGGCACAGTCAGAGTAGGGGTGTGAGTGGGGTACAGCCCTGGGGTGAAGGATGGAGGTGTTGGGGCAGGGGCTGGTATCAGGTTGGAGATCCACTGTTCAGACCGGGCTGGGCTCTGGGCTAGGTCAGGGGTCTGCACTGCGGTGGGGGTAGGATTCCGGGCTCACCCTTGTCCTCGATGGGATTGTGGGACAGAGTGAGGGCATGTAGCACACAGCTTCCGTTCTCCCCAAACACGCAGGCCAGCTTCTGGACAAAGTCCCTTCAGGCGGGGGAGGAAGGGTTTGTTTGTCCCAGGCCCTGGGCTTCCCCTTCTCCTCCACCTGCCCGCCTGGCTGGGACTGCAAAGGATAGAGCCCCCAAGGTGGGGAGCAGCTCAGGGTCTGGCACGGAACTTGTCACCACTCCGGAGCACAAGAGAAGCTGTGCTGAGGCAAAGCCCAGCTTCGGGCCCTCGAGTCAGAGAAACCCACCCTGCCTGGTGGTTGGTGGAGCATGCTGGGGCAGGCCCTGCTGGGGAAGGCCCTGCTGGGGAAGGCCCTGGAGCTGGGGAAGGCCCTGGAGCTGGGGAAGGCCCTGGAGCTGGGGAAGGCCCTGGAGCTGGGGAAGGCCCTGGAGCTGGGGCAGGCCCTGGAGCTGGGGAAGGCCCTGGAGCTGGGGCAGGCCCTGGAGCTGGGGAAGGCCCTGCTGGGGAAGGCCCTGGAGCTGGGGCAGGCCCTGGAGCTGGGGAAGGCCCTGGAGCTGGGGCAGGCCCTGGAGCTGGGAAGGCCCTGGAGCTGGGGAAGGCCCTGGAGCTGGGGCAGGCCCTGGAGCTGGGAAGGCCCTGGAGCTGGGGAAGGCCCTGGAGCTGGGGCAGGCCCTGGAGCTGGGAAGGCCCTGGAGCTGGGGAAGGCCCTGGAGCTGGGGAAGGCCCTGGAGCTGGGGCAGGCCCTGGAGCTGGGAAGGCCCTGGAGCTGGGGCAGGCCCTGGAGCTGGGGCAGGCCCTGGAGCTGGGGCAGGCCCTGCTGGGGAAGGCCCTGGAGCTGGGGCAGGCCCTGCTGGGGAAGGCCCTGGAGCTGGGGCAGGCCCTGGAGCTGGCTGGGGTCAGGAGGCTTAGGTCTGAGTCCAGCGTGACCATGGACTTGTTTTCTGCCCTCTTTGGGCCCCAGAGTCTTCTGTAAAGTGAGGAGCAGGATGAGATAGCTCAGAGGCCCCTATCGTGCTCTGAGGTTCTGTTGCCCTAAGATTACATCGCGGGGGCACCACCGCCCAAGGAGGAGGCTGGCTCACGTCTTCAGTCCAGCGTTGTCCAGCACCAGCTCTTCGAGGCTCCCCGACTTGCTCAGGGTATGTAGCACCTGTTCTAGCACTTCAGAGCCCTGAGGACAGAGGGATGCTGTGACCAGGGACCAGAGAGGACACTTCTCCTCCCACTTCCACCACCCCTCCTCGTCCCTACCAGCCGCAGGTCCTTGCAGTAGAGTTTGGTGAACCACTGGTTGTAGGCCAGGGCTGCCACCATTAGGGCCAAGTCTCTGTGGGGAGATTGAAGTGGGTAGGAAAGGGTGAGCAGGTGGGCAGGAAAGAAGAGACTGGGGATAGAGTGGTTGGGCTGGGGAAAGCCTGGATGGGTAGAAGGCAGTGCAGGGGGGTTGGGGAGAGAGAGCTGGGACTGTGGGTGGGATCAGAAGGGCTTCTGTGGTGGGGGTGGGGAGTCTATCCCATCAGCTTACCGGCTCTCCAAGTGGCTGAAATCTAAAAGGTTGAACTCGCGGTTATCCTCGGCATGATAGATGGTGTCCACATCCTTGCAGAGGTAGAACTGGCTCACACCTGCTCCCCTCCTCCTCCTCTGCCCCCTCCCTCCAGGTCCCAGCTGCCCAAACAGTGGGTCCCTGCCCAACGCACCCATTGCACCTCCTCCCGGCAGTGCAGCCCATTGTAGTCACACAGGGCAGCGTAGGTCTCGGAGAAGCCACCTGTGGGCAGAATATGGGTTGGCTCCACGAGGGGCAAGGGAAAGAGGAACAGGTTTGGGGGTCAAGGAAAGGTCAAGGTCATTTTATGTCCTGGGTTCCTGCTACACCATGAACCTCTGAGGTCCGGGAGCTGTGGGGTCCTCGGGGCAGGTGAAACCCCATATATAAAGGACTCTGGACAAGGGGCAGGGTGGTTCAGGTCCCACTTTCGTCAGGTCTGCCCCTGCTCACCACACACACTGTGAGTGGTAGATGTGGAAGTCTCAGAGTTGGGGGATGTGTCTCGGGGCCCTTCTGGAGTGTCTGCATTTCCACGCCGGATTAGACACCTAGAAGATGAACAAATCCATCCCAGAGAGAGGTGAACAGAGGCTCTCAATGTCTTATGGCTTCTGGATCCCCAGGAAAAAACAGGAGCAAGAACATGCTTGTTCTTCTCCTTGCTGTCCTCGGAGCTCGGGTCCAGGGGAAGGAGGGAAGGAGGGGAGGAGGGAGAGGTCTCCTTGTTGTCCACCCCCTTGCGATTCCTCCTTTGCCACTCACCCAGGGCCAGGGCAGACCTTGGAGAGGGCTGAGCTCACATGTCGCGTCACTTGGTCCACACTCTCAGCTGATGGCAGCCGCATGCTCACCATGCCTCGTTCTGTCTCCACTAGGATCTGGGGGCGAGGGAGCAGCAGGGCCTCACATATTGACCCCTTCCTCCTGCTGGCCCGATAGTGGGGCCCAGGCCCTGGTGCTCACCTGGTTCTGACTGAGTGTGTTGAAGGCCCGGATCTCCAGGACATTGAAGGAGCTCTCCACCTGGGGGTGTGGGATGCTCAGCTCATGGTAGGGGTCTGGCTGCCACGCTCAGGAGGGAGCATGCCAGGTGCTCTCCGCTCCTCAGCCCAACTTACCTTAGCTGGGACTTTCAGGGGGAAGAGGTGGAGGCGCCAGGAGGTCAGGGCCTTCAGAGAAAGGAAAAGAAAATCAGCAGCAAATGGCCATTCCCTGGGCCATCGATTCCTGCCCTCCTTTAGCCCCCTCAGCCTGTGTGCAACCTGGCCAGCAGCGGCCCTCTGTGCTGGGGGTCCTCCCTCTCTCTCATGCCCCATTCTAATCTCCTGGATGTTGACCCAGCCCAGCCTAACCCTCTCCTACACTATGGCTCCTCAGCTCTTCCCCACCTCTGTGTTCCCTGCCTCCCAGGCTCTCTGCCCTCAGCAGCCCTGCTGCCCTTGGGGCCTCCCTCTGCTCCCAAGCCCAGTGCCCTCACCAGCACTCGGTCCTCAAACTTCTTGGGCTTTGTCTCCAGCTTCACGCGATGTTGCTGGAGCACAGCCCCTTGGCTCAGGCACCTCCGGATGCTGTCTGCAGGTGGATAGGGGCCTGCTCAGAGCTCCCCTTACCCTGGCCACCCACCTCCTCGGGGCTCTCCGGGGGCAGAGTCAGGTGGGAGGAGAGAGAAGAAGAGAGACAAAGAAGGACAGGGACACACACCTTTCCTTCTTGGGTGACTTTTCTCTTCCTATTAGAGAGGGAGGGGGTGTGGAGAAAACTCTGGTACCTGATGTTTCTGAATCAAAAGACAGCCGCGGGGTGACCCTGTCTGTGGGAGGGCGTGTCTTACACTTCTGAGGGTGTGAAGGGTTTTTCCAGCCTGTTCACTACAGGCTGTCAACCCATACACAGTGAGTCAGTGTGTGGGGGTGTGGGCGGGTCCCTTTAACTACATTCTAGGTGGTCTTGGGTGTGAGTGTGTCTGCCTTTTACAACGCGTGTGTGCGTGCCTTCTGCAGATGCCGTTGGTGGGAATGGGGAAGTGTGAATGAGTATGCTGTGCTTGCAGTTGTGAAAGGGGCATGGAGCCAGAAGGTTCCGGTGTGTGTGGCAGGTGGAGTTAGTGTTTAAATGAAACCCTATCCATCTGCTGGCAGACCATCGAGAGAGAGAGAGAGAGAGAGAGAGAGAGAGAGAGAGAGAGAGAGAGAGAGAAGGAGGGAGAGGTGGGGGTCCAGGCGCTATAGAGATGTTTGTACACACATCTCAGGATTGTGCTTGTGTGTGTGTGTAGGTGTGGGAAATCGCCAAGGCCCGCACGCCTCTGAGGATCCTTGAGAGCCTGATCTCTGCCTGGGCTGCTGCCTCTGGGGGTCAGGGCTGTGGCAGCGCTGGGGGCCCGGGCCTTGGTTTGGGCCATGCAAACAGGAGAGGCCTTGAGGTGTGGGTGTAAGGTAGTGAGAAGGGGGCCGGCTGGGACGGGGGCACTGTGGGAGGTGAGCTGCAGAGATCTTGCTCTAGCTTTTAGCTCCAATGCAGGCCCTCTTCCCTGACTCCCTTCTTTGCCCCACTGGTCTGGGCGCTGCTAGGCTGCCAGGGGGCTCTCCGGGGCCAGTTCCGGGGCGGGGCCGGGAGAGGGAGGGTGTAGAGCCAAGAGGCGGTCAGGACCAGGGGCAGCTCCCTTCGTGCAGCCCGGGGTGGGCCTGGCTCCGCCCGGCGGGGAAACAAGGACTCTCCGGAGAGAAGACAAGCCGCCTCGCTTAGGGGTGGGCCTGAGAGTCAGCCCTAGGGACGGCGAGGGGACTGTACCTGTCACCAAAGATCAGCACGGGCGGCTCTGGGACAGGAAGGTCCTGACAGGGTGAGGCGAGGGGGGGCAGCGGAGGATGCTCCGGGGTCAGATGCCCGCAGCTAGGATGCAGGGGCAGGGGAGGGGGTTGCCTTGCAAGCGGGATGCATGGGGCGGGGGCGGGGCGGGAGGCACCGGGGCCGGGGTGTACCGTGGGGAGGAGCGCACTGGGTCTCGAACGCTCCCAGACCTGGCGTCCCGGAGACCACCGCAGCCTCGTACCTTGCAGCTCGCGGGTGAGCTCCGTGCTGGACTTGGCCATGGCGGCTGCTGTTGCTGCCGCTGCTGCAGAGGAGCTACCGCCACCGCCGGGGAGCCGCGGCACATGCTAGACCCGGCTCCGGCAGGGCCCCGGCGCTGAGCGATGCTGCAGCCGCCGAGCCCGCTCCAGTCGGGGCGGCTGCGTGAGCGCTCCTGCCCCCGCCTCCCGGCGCCGGGTCCCCCGCCCGCCCGGGGAAGCGCGGGACTGAGCATGCGTGCCGCGCCTCCCGGCTGCGTGAGACCCCGCGCGCTCGCGCCCACCCCTCCTGCCTGCTCCCGCGTGCGACGCCTGGTGCGTGTTGCCAGGAGCCCGGGCCATCTCCTAGGCGGGGGACAGCGTCCCCGCCTTGCGTGCCACACACTCCTCGAGCATCACGAGCAAAGCCCATGTCTTTTGTTCGTGGGTCTGGGTACCCCGTTCATCCTTGCAAGGCCCCTTCCTTTTCCCGATTGTTCGGGCGGTCCAGCTCGCCCTCGCGGACCTGCGAGGGAACTCGGGGCCCAGGGCAATGCCAGGAGAGGACTTGGCCAGATCTGGGGGAGCTCGTCCTTCCTCTCCTGCTGCCCAGCCTTGGGGATCCCTGTGGCGCTCTGGGAGTTCCCATGCCGCCTCCTTCCAGCTGGCAGCTCTGCAGACACCTCCACTCCGAGCAACACGCTCAGGCCCTGGAGACGGGGAGGAAGGTTAGGGGACCCAGAGATCCAGTTCACTCAGACTTATGCTCTCTGCTCAGCTACCACACCTGTGCACCCCACACTAAAAAATGAACACACTGAGTTAAAGCAACACGATCATCTGCATTTTATTGGCACCTCATTTGCAAGTTAATTTCCAACCTTCCCAGCCCCTCCTTCAACTCCAGGCCCTTCTCTCCCAACTCCCTCAAATTGCCCCCTGCCAGGAAATAAAAAAATATGTTTTTTGCCAAGGTAGACTCAGCCTACTCAGCAGGCCTGTCCCGTGTCCTCAGGGGAAGTCTTTATCCAAGGCTACAGCAACAACAGGAATCCTCATAAGACCAAACCTCGATGGCAGGGAAGGCTGGATCTTGTCACAGGGTGTAGCTGATTTTAGGGGGCGGGGAAAGGTGAGCGGTGTGATAGAGGTGGTAACGGCTGGTAGATTAGTGCTGGAACCCGATGGGGGCTGAAGCCCAACCTCTGCCCTGGTAGACTCTCCAGGTACTCAGAGGCGGGAGGGGGCTCCTCCAGCCACGGTCACTGTTTCCCCAGTGATGTAGCTGGCATCTTCAGAGCACAGGAAAGACACAATGCCTGCACAGTCTTCTGGCGTGCCTAACCTGGGGTGCAGGGAAAACAAAGAAGGGGGTAAAAATCAAACAGGCCAGGCCCCCACAGAGAATGGAATTTACTTAATAAGTATCAGATGATTTTTCAGGACCAGTGTACAGGTCCATCAAATTGGGTTATCCTGATGATAAGCTGTTATAATTTAGTATAAGCATAAGTACTGTACTCTGAGAAAACACTGTAAGTTATATTCAAATAGAGATACTTTGTTCTTTAGAGAACTCAGGACACCCAAATCCAAGATTTTATAGATAAACTTGTGAGCAGCTCTTTTATACTTCAAATAATTTGTTTCACATGTGTGCATACTAGTCAAGTATCAGGGAGTCTGTGAGATAGTAAATGGTTTGTTTAAAATGACTCCATTTGCACAGCTTTAATTCACAGATAGCATTTTCAGGAATCTATTTTTGTCCCTTAGAGTCAGGTTCATTTTGTGAGAATGTGCTAATTCTCAGTGTTTGTATCAGTGATTGCTTAGTTGGGAACATTTTAACATAACTGCCCGAGTTCTCTAGAGGTGGGGCAGAGTGCGTATCTCAAACCCAGATTAGTAGTTCCTCATCCTAGTTGTATATTATAATCACCAGGAAGGCTTAACACCTCCCGCCTCCTTCCTCCCACCCCTGCCCAAAAGATGCCCAGGACTTGCCTTGGACCAATAAAAAAGAATCTTTGGGCCCTGGCTGGGTAGCTCAGTTGGTTAGAGCATTGACCCAATAGCCAAGGCTGTGGGTTCAATCCCCAGTCAGGGCACAAACAAGAAACAATCAGTGAATGCATAAATAAATGGAACAACGAATTGAAGTTTCTCTCTCTCTCTCTCTTTCTCAGCAATAATAAAAAAATCATCTTTGGGAGTAGGGCCTGACATCTGTAGTTTCATAAGCTCCCTAGCTGAGTTGAATAGGCACCAAGATTGAGAAGGATGGGGCTAGTGAACCACTGGGGCGCTAGGAAGACAATACCCCGGCTTATTAGTGAGTTGTGGACTAGGCCTGCAGCTCATGCTGACATCAGATGCTTTGGGAGCACCAGGGGGAGTCTTCTCCCTTAAGTTGGCCTGTTTCCACAAGTAGTCCTTGAGGGACAAGATGGAGAAGCTGAAGACAAGAGTTCCCAGAAGCCCGAGGTTGGAGAGAGGCAGGGAACTTGGAGGAAAGGGAGCCAGATGAAGGTGCTGGAACAGTTCGTCCAGCCCCTTGGGGAGGAGGCCAGTTTTCTTAGGCAAGGGGAGTTTTGGGACTTACTAAAAGCTCTTCAGTCCTTTTATTTGGGTTGTAGGATCATCAACCTGAGCTTTGAAAACATGACTTTCAAAAACACACATGACTTTTTATTCAAAGGGAACTAAAAAAGCATGTTTTGGTTTTGGTCCCTAGTAGCTAGGGATGCCTAGAGGTGGTGGCAAGCAGCCAGCTGGAGAGAGGAGTCAGGGAATCTCCCAGAGCTCTTCTTTACTGAAACCTGGACACATCTGTGTTTGCTTTTGCAATGGAAGTGGACTCCCTGTAGCCCCGCCCCTCACTGTGGTGGGGCAGTGTTCATGAGCTTGTGAAGTGTGAGTGTTTGAGGCAGAGGAGAGCATGCCCCTGCTGTCTGTGGGACCAAGAGACACGCGATGTGGGCTGTGTGAGGGGCCGTATCTTCCCATCTTTATCCCTCTTAACTCCCTCTGTGACACCTCACCTTCTTATCCGCATGGCTTCTTTTAAGGTCTCCTCTCTTGCCTTGTCCATCCACAACTGCAGGAAAAGGGAATCTCTTTATGTGAAAGACGCAGAAGGGGGCCAGGCAGGGGGGAAACGGCCCGCCCTCACATTGCGGGAGAGGAAGGGTAGAGAGAGGCCCTCTTCCACTTCCTAGTTCTTCCTAGCCCCCAGCGTCTCCCCACCGCCTTCTTCTGTTCATTCTTTTCAGATTCTAGTGAGGCACTTCACTGGGTCTCCCCATTCCCACCCACTTAAGGAGATATGAAACGGTGTGAACAGAGTCTGAATTTCTCAGTCTCCACCGAACACCCGGAGAAAGAACAGGTTTGGTCCGGACAGGTGGCTGGCACGGAGGGGGCGACAGAAAGGCTGGGGAGGGGAGCAGGGGTGATTGGGAGCTCAGGACCCCGGCGCCAGCTCTCCCAGCAGGATGCAGGACAGCCCCTCCTCACCACTTGGCTGAAGTTAGTCTTGATGATTCCGGGCGCCAGGCAGTTCACCCTTATGTTACTGTGGGCCAGTTCTATGGCCAGGTTCTTGCCGAGACCCAGCAAGGCTGTTTTACTGACATTGTAAGGGCCCAGGCCCTGGGGAAAGGAAAAATGGGTTAGTCTCTTTGTTTTTGGTTCATTCTTGGTTCTTACTGGAAGACATAAAGGGCAGTAGATAACAGGGCATCTCCTGTAATGGAGGGTCACAGTTAGGAAACGGCCTTGAGGCTGACCCTCCCCAACGCTGGGGTTCGTGGAGGCCGGGCATCTGTTTTATTGGAAGGGACTTGGTGGTGTGATTGCAAAAGGGGACACAGCTTCTTCGGGTGACTGGAGGGTAGAAAGGTGCAGGATGGGAGTAGCAGAGGAAGGGGCTCTTACAGGAAACGGGGTGTAGGCTGCTATGGAGGCCACAATCACCACTGAGCCGCCTCTGGAAAGAGAAGAGAATGACCCTCTGCCCAGCAGAGACCCCCGCCCTCAGACCACATGGGGCCCGTCACACCCAGGCTCCCTCTCCTTCTCCGTACCCTCGTTTCTCCATCTCTGGCACCACTGCCTTTGTCATCAGGGCTGTGGCCTTCACATTAATGTCCAGAATCTGAAACCGGGGGAAGAAGGGGAGCAGCATGAGGGGAGAGCTGGAGAGGGCAGGGTGATGCACACTCAGAATACGTTCTCTCGGATCTGCCTGTTGGGGCTGGTGGAGATCTTGGAGATGATTTCCGGGACCTTACACATGAAGAAACCAAGGTCCAGGGAGAAAGAAGTGTCTCTCACCAGCGTATTCAGTGAGAGAATGAAAATTAGGCCTGGGTGAGAAAGAATGGAGCCTGGTTCATCTTGTTTCCTAAGTAGCCAAGTGTGATTTGGCCTAGAATGGACCTAAACTCTCAGGGCTACATTGGATTTTAGCTGGATTTTCTCTGTTTCTTCTCATTAGGGAGAACCTGGAATGAGGTGGGCCTTCTGGGATCTGCCATGGAGTGGGCCGTGCTTCTCAGGGAAAATGTGGCCTGACCTGGGGCCCCTGGGGCGTTCCAGCACTGCTCTGGCTCCTGAGCTCAGGGACTGCGATGCTCCTGGCCCTCCAGGGTGGACTGTCCGGCTGAACATTTGTTGGAAAGTGGGGTTATGAGAAGTGGGATCATTTTGGGGAAGCTGGGGCACAGGCTGGAATCAAAACCTCACACCCATAATTTAAAACAAACATATCACACTGCTGCCGAGGTAGTCCCCTCCCACGCCCCCTGGCAAACTCTCATTTTGAAAAATTTCAATTGTACAGAAAAGTTGAAAAAGAAGTACAATGCATATCTTTTGCCTAATTCATCAATGGTTCACATTTTGTCCCTTTTGCCCTGACTGTGTTTTTCCCTGAACCACTGAAGGTTAAGGTGCAGATGTCATAATGCTCTAACACTAATATTTATGGATATTCTCTAAGAGATTATAATCCATGATCACACCCAAGAAATTTAACACTGATAATAATGATTTTATCTAATGTGCTGCCCATAATAAAATTTCCCCAATTGTCTCCCATATGTCTTTTTTTTTTTTTAAAAACAACCACATGTTTTTATTGATTTCAGAGAGAGGAAGGGAGAGGGAGAGATAGATAGAAACATCAATGATGAGAGAGAATCATCAATCGGTTGCCTCCTGCACGCCCCCTACTGGGGATAGAGGCCCCAACCTGGGCATGTGCCCTGACCACGGAATCAAACC